TAAGTTGCAAATAGAGCTACCATTTGACCCAACAATTCCACTAATGGGAATATACCCCAAAGAGATATTTGACATCCAAGCAGATATATGCACACCCATGTTTATCGCGGCTTTGTTCACAATAACAAGGAATTGGAAACAACCTAAGTGCCCATCAACAAATGAATGGATAGAGAAGCTGTGGTATATTCACACAATGGACTACTACGTACGCTGCATTGAAAAACAAAGAACTCATGCAATATTATTCAAAATGGGTGACTCTGGAGGACATTATGCTGAGTGAGGTATCTCAGTCACAAAAGAACAAATACTGCATGGTGCCCCTGTTGTAAAACAGGACTGACCTCGGGGTTGGGGGTAGACTGAGAAAGATGGGCTAAATTACGTATACTGCATTGAAACTGTTTAAAAGGGATATGTGATTAGGTATTTTTGTCATGCTAGGAGTCCAGAGCAAAGGCTGCATAGTAGAGTGGACCCTTGGGGGAGGGATTGTAAAACAAGGAAAGAATTTTTCTTTTACTTTTCCAAGAGGGTAGTGTACTAAGGGGGAGGATTGGGAGGGGAGAAAAGTGCAACAATGAATGAATGGAAATAAAAAAAAATAATTTTTTTTTCTTTTACTTTTCAAAGAGAAGTGCGAACTGGGGGGAGGGGTGGGCAGGGAGAAAATTGCAACAGTGAATGTATGGAAATCCAAAATCTCTCTAAACGTTCATTAAAATGAAATTTTTTTTTCCAAACCCCCCCCCAACTTTCATTTTCCAATAAAATTCTACTTTAAAAAAATGAAAATGATATTTAGTATAAACTATTTATAATATTTAGTAATGAACTTTTTTTTATTACTTTCATTTTTTCCTGAAACCCTTGGAACCATCTGGATTATTTTTATGGTGTTTATTTCCCCTCAGATTTTATATTCAGTACTACTCTGTCTTTTCTGATCACTTGAATGCCCTTTGAACATTTCTTGTCAAATGATGGAAGTCATATTTGTATCTCTTGGAGTAGTTCCTAATTGTGTATTTTATCATTAGGATAGCTTCAAGTCTTACTGATCATTGCTTATAAAATCCTTTTTTAAGCTGTTGCATTTTCTCTATCCCATTACTACTTCCCCAGAGTCTAGTGAAAGGGGAGGAGGAGTTCACCGCCTTACCGTCCCTGTCACCTTTTTAAAAATTCTTTCTGCATCCTAATATTACTGTTATTTTTAGTTTTCAGTATTATCTATATAATGACATGTTTCTGTGTATGTTGGTTTATTCTTTTTTTTGTTATTATTTCTTATTGTAAGTATATTTAGCACATTAGTGTAACATTTTTCACATGCTTCTTGTCTATTTAATAATTCATTAATCGTGATGTACAGCAGTCACTAATTTTGTTACCAACTTCAAATTCATTTTTTATTGTGATTTGAGTGAAAATTTACAAAACATGCAGGTTTTCATTCAGTCACTTGTACAATTTTCTTTTACAACATTAATGACAATACCTACAATTTAATCACATTTTGTTTCCTACTTCTCTGTAATTCTGCGTTCTGTTAATCTCTGACCTACCCCTTCCTTAGGACTTTATTTTTGGTCATATGCTGCTCTTTTGACTTTATGTGATGCTCTAAGGAGTCAGTACCTTCCAGGTGCTATTCGTAACTTTTTATAGGCCTCTCTATTGTTTGGCTGGAATTTGGGCTGCAGGGGTGAGTTTTGTTCAAGATTTGAAGCCTTTCTAAGGGCCATAGTCCTGGGAATTCCACCATTGTTTATTGGACCAATAAGGTTGTCTTTTTTTTTAATGTGTTTGTGGCTTTTCTTACATTTTCCTCCTGCTTGACACCATCTAGGTCTTCAGTCTTACTTAGGTCATGGAAGTTGAGGTTCACATTGTCCATTAGTCCTTTGCTTCAGTTAATTTTTACTTCGCTCTTCTTTGTTGCAGACATGGAGAGACCAGTTGCTGCACCTTCAATGGCTGCTCAGACACTTTTATAACTCCAGTTGCTACTTAGCTAGAGTAGGATGTAGAACGTTGTCTTTGTGGACTTTGTTATGCCAGTTGATCTTGATTCCTTCCCTGACTATGGTTCCAAGGCCCCAGAACCAGCAACTCATCGCTTATGGTTGTTTGGCTGTTAAGAAACTTACAAAGCATTACCTCTTGGTAGCTCTGCTATATACAAGGATGCATTTATAGTACTTAAGAATGTAGAAATATCTTTAGACTTAACTTCTATATGAAAGGGAGCTCTTGTAGCTAAGTGATAAGAAGGTTTGTGGTCAACCTAAAGGCATGTGGTATGAATCCACCAACTGCTCTGTAGGAAAAAGAGGGAAAGTCTGTTCTTATATGATTTATAGCCTCTGAAAACCCATTTAAGGGTCAGCTGTGAGCTGCTTTCCACCCATAGCACATAACACAGTAATGTATGTGAAAGGTGAATGTGCATATTTTTCCTTCCTATGTCTCATTTTATCCAGTTATTATTGTGTACAAATTTAATTGTGTAAATTCTACTAAGTAACTATATTAAAATTTCTAAACTTTGTCTGAAAATTCAGCTTCATATCAGCAATTAAAATATGATTACATAAATTTCACTTACTTTAGAACCAGTGGAAACTTTGGTCAGTAGACATACCAAGTTGTGAGTCTCTGGCATTACAAATCTACTAGCAGTCCTTTGGGAGAAAGAGGAAACTATACCCCTATCGTTGCAGTGTACAGCCTTGGAAACTGTGGAAGGCTGCTGAGTTAAAATTGACTTGACAGCTGTGGGTTTGAGTTTTTGAGTATAGAACCACTTGTTAGTGTGAAAAGTAACCACCAAATGTAATCACAAAAGCTTTGTTATTTGAAGACAGTGTTCCGAAACTCATACAAGAGGAAACATGAGCAGAGAAGTAGAAAGGAAGTTTTATCCAAAAATGAAAATAATTTTTACCTGAATACCTTTATCATCAGAATAAAGCTTACTCGTTCACCTTGTTCTCGCCCCCCACCCACCCCTTCTTCTTGTTAATTGCTATCATGTTGCTGCAGCTAAGTATGACCAGGGTGCTGTCAGCAGAAGCATACTGAGTAAATAATAGCTTCACATACTTTGGCATGTTGCTAGGAGAAGTTATTCCTTGGAGGACATTGTGCTTGGAAAAGTAGAGGGGCGGCCTCTGGGAAGAGGAAGACCCTCAACCAAGTAAATTGACATAGTGACTGCAGCAGTGGGCCTGAGTGTGTCAGAGATTATGAGGTTGGCATAGGATAGGACAGAGTTCAGATCTATTGTTCATAGGGTTGCCATAAGGCATACTTGACTTGATGGCACTGAACAGCAACAGCATACAGCAGAGCCAACAGTGGGCAATGCTTTGTAAGCTTTTAAATCATAATCAGACACCTAGAATTGTTAAGAATTAACATTCCTGTTTTTTCTGATCTTTGGATTAAATGATTTCTGTGTTGATGTTTCTCTGCTTTTCTCACAAAAAGTATGTTGGTTTTATTTGTTATTTGTCACTGCACTGAATTGTTGATGAGTCAGATTCCAACTACATTTTTTCCTCACAAATGTTCTAAAATGTGTTAGAACACTGATAATTTCTCCTCTCTTTTAGGGCTTTTATTTATTTATTTTTTTTGGTGTTTTTTTTTTTAACTTTGAAAGAATGGAAGATAAATATTTGTTTTCAGTCTATCATCTTGAAACAGATTTCTCAGAACTTGATTATTTTTAACCGTAGTCATCAAATACAAATTGTAGTTATTTTTCCCTCCCCCTCCACTTCCACCCCACCATTATATTAAAAAATGGAAGTTCATACAAAGCTAACATGAACTGCATTACATTCTGCATTGAAACATGATTACTAACAAATTGAAGGCATAAGGGCTAAATGGATCCTGAATTTTAGTGCTGTCAAGGATGTTTTAGGGGAATGGAAAGAACTGAAAGATGGAGTATATGACAGATGATAGTAAACTATTGTTCAGTCTTGTAAGTGACCTTGTTATGATACAGAAGTTAAGTCTTTATTCTTAGGAAGTGCATCTTGAACTATCTAGGAGTGTTATGATATTTTCAAGCTAATTTTAGATTGTTCAGAAGCAAGGATGTATGTGTATGTACATGTTTGTATATACCCAACAGATTCAATATGAACCTATATCAGTCTTCTGAGACTGTAAATTTCTTTGGAAAAAAAACCTGCCTTACAATTCTAATAGGGAGACTGGCCGATTTGAACCACTGACTTTTCAGTCCAACACACAGTGTACTACAATATTAGGGCTCTCTTTATAGACAGAAGAGACCAACAGATATAGAAAATCAGTAAATGATAGATATATGATATTTTGTATTGTTCTTGAAAGATTTTATAGGCTTGGGTATGCATATTAAAAATATATGAATCTGGGGGAGAAAAAAAGAAACATTATTATTATTGCAGTTATTATGTGCCATCAAGTTGCTTGAGACTCATAGTGACCCGGTCTATGTACAAAAGTTCTGAACCATGCTCTATTCTGAGCCACCCTTATTGTATCTGACACACCTCCCCTCTTTACCCTAGTCACTGAATCAATCCATCTCATCAAGTCTTCCTCACTTGCACTGACCCTCTAACCTCCCAAGCATGATGTCCCTCTCGAAGGACTGGTCCCTCCTTGAAACATGCCCAAAGTATGCCAGACACAGCTTCAGAATCCTTGCCTCCAAGGAGCAGCCTAGTCTTACCCTCTCCAGGACAAACCTGTTTTTTCTCCTAGTAGTTCATAGTGTATTCAATACTCTTCTCCAGCACCATAGCTCAAAGGCATCAATTCTTCTTCCATTCATCCTTATTTATTGTCCAACTTTTTGATGAATAGCAAGTAATTGCAAAGACCATGGCCTGGATCAGGCACACCTTAGTCTCCAGACTGACATCGTTGCTTTTCAGTACTCTGGAGAGGTCCCTAACAGCTGACCTTCCTAGTGCAATTTGTCTTCTGATTTCCTGGCTGCTGATATCACAAATGTTGATTGTGAAGCCAACCAAACTGAAACTGTTAACAATCTCAGTCTTTTCACTGTCTGTCGTTTCCAGTTGGCCAAGTGGTGAGAATCTTTGTTTACATGATGTTGAGTTTCAATCCATATTGAAGGCTGCAATCCTTGATTTTCTGCAGCATGTGCTTCAGGTTCTCCTCAGTTTCGGCAAGCAAAGTTGTGTCATTTGTATAGTGCAGGTTGTTGATGAGTCTTCCTCCAATCCTGATGCCACATTCTTCCTCATAGAGCCCTGCCTTCAGGATGATCTGTTCTGCATATAGATTGAAAAGGGATGGAGATAGGACACATCCATGGTGTACACCTTTCCTGATGTTGAACCATGTAGTGTTTCATTCATTGCTCTGTTCTGACAACTGCCTCCTTGTCCAAGTGCTTTTCCACAAAAGCACAGTCATGTTCTGGGATTATCATTCTTCTCAGAGTTAGCCAGTTTATTGTGATCCACACATGTATCTGCTAATCAATTTAGGTTTTTTTATGCATAAAAAAGTACACTATAGCAGGTAGTGATGCACAAGGAGAGACACAAAGGCAGCAATTTGCAGGGAGTGAACAGGACAGTAGGAATTTGAGTGAGAACTATTATAATAATTAGTTTGGGAGCCATAGGAACAGCTGACTGTGGCGGGACCCACCAGCTGAGCCAAGGTGAGAGCTGCCAGCCCCGCCCCAGGAGGAGCCACCAGCTGAGCTTTTTTGAGACCCACCCGCCAGGAGCAAGCAGGACAAAGGGAACTGGACTGAGTTTTCTTAGGCACCACCTGACCCAGAGACCTGCTGGATGAGAGCCACCAGACAAGAGTAGGACAGCTGGAATTTGAGTGAGGTCCCCACGTGAGCCCACCTGGACAGCTGGAATCTGAGTGATGTCACTGCACATGCCATGCCCTGCAGCTTTGCCTTCACGTCCAGTCAACTAACTTGCCTTTAATCTGGAGCGTCTTGGTCTGACTTAGCTGCAGCAAGAGGCTGCTCTCACGAGCCCTGAACTGAACATATCCTTGGGCAAGAAGTTCAGAGAGAAGCACAGGCAGGGTAGTAGCTCCACCCTATTCTAGAACAGTGACTTCATATCAAGAACCTGTTATCACCTCAGGCATGAAAAACTCTACCACAACAACAAGCACAAAGCAAGCTATCACCCCCAAAAGTGAAACAGTATCATTGAATTTCCTGAAGCCAGAAAGTCTGGTGGAACTTTCTGACACAGAATTTAAAAAAAAAAACCACAGTGATTTAGTATTTTGAATGGACGAAAGACAAACTTGAAGAATTATAGGACACTGCAAGCAAAAACCAGGAGGAGCTTAAAAAAAATACAAAACAATACAGATAAAACAACTGAGGCATTAGAGGCTCTGGAAAAACAAGAGACTGCAATCCAGAATATGAGGTCCAGTGTTTCAGATGACTGTCAATAGGATGGAGGAACACATGAATAAAGTTGAAGAGATGGAACACAGAACCAGTAAAATAGAAGATAAAATTGTCACCACTGATCTGCTAGAGCAAAAAGCAGAATCAAAAATGAAGGAAAAAAGAAGAAAACCTAAGAATAATGTGGGACACCATCAAAAGAAATAACATGCACATAATCGGAATATCAGAACAGGAAGAAGCAAGTAAAGGCACCAAAAAAATTGTGGAAGAATTACTAGAAGAAAACTTCCCAGGCATAATGAAGAAAGAGAATATATATAAAGAAGCTGAGCAACCACCATATAGAATAGACCCCAAAAGAAAAACACCGATATATATATCATAGTCAAATTTGCCAGAACCAAAGATAAGGAGAGAATCCGAAAACAGCAAGGGAGAAACAGAGTTAATCTATAAGGAGCGTTGTTGTTGTTATGTGCCGTTGAGTGGCTTGTGACTCATAGCGTCCCTGTGTACAGTAGGCCCTATGTACTGTTCTGTCCTGTGCCAATCACACTGTCTCTGACATTCCCATCTCGATTACCCCAGTCACTGAATCAATCCACCTCATAGAAGGTCTTCCCCTCCTGCGCTGTCCACCCTACCAGGCATGATGTCCCTCTCCAAGGACCAGTCCCTCCTTACAACATGTCCAAAGTATGTCAGATGGAGCCTCACAATCCTTACCCCCAAGGAGCCACCCGGTTTAACCCTTTCCAGGATGAATCTGTTTGTTTTCCTTGCAGTCCATGGTACATTCAATACTCTTCTCCAACACCACAGCTCAAAGGCATCAATTCTTTTTCTATTCTCCTTAGTCATTGTCCAACTCTCTGATGCATAACAAGTGATAGCAAAGACCATGGCCTGTATCAGATGCACCTTGGTCTCCAGAGTGACACTATTGTTCTTCAGTACACTGGAGAGGTCCCTAACAGCAGACTTTCCCATCACAATATATCTTTTAATTTCCTGGCTGCTGTTGCCAAGAGTGTTGACTGTGGAGCTAAGCAAACTAAAACTATGAACAATCTTAATCTCTTCACCATTTATTCTGATGCTGCCAATTGGTCCAGTGGTGAGAATCTTTGTCTTCTTGACATTGAGCCTCAATTCATATTGGAGGCTGCAGTCCTTGACCCTCTGCAGCAAGTGCTTCAGGTCCGGAGAGTAGATAAGATTAAGTTCTGATTTCTCAGCAGAAACCATGTGAACAAGAAGGCAGTGGAATGGCATATATCGAACACTCAACACAACTGTCAACCAAGAATACTGTACCCAGCAAAATTGTCCATCAGATATGAAAGAGAGATCAAGATATTCCCAGAAAACAGAACCTAAGAGAGTTTGTAAAAACAAGGCCAGCATTTCAGGAAACACTGACAGACGTCCTTCTTACAGAGGTGCCACAAAAAGCAGGATGGACCAAAGTAACTAATAACACCACCAAAAAGAACTCAACAAAAAGATAGTAATAAAACCTTGCCTCTCAATAATCACACAGAATGTAAATGGTATAAATGCACCACTGAAGAGAAAAAGAGTAACAAATTGGAAAAAAAAACCCCAAAATCCATTAATATGCTTTTTTACAAGAGACACACCTGAAAAATGAAGATAAAGACTAAAAAGAAAAGGGTGGGAAAAATATACCAAGCAAATGACAACCAGAAAAAAACAGGAGTAGCAATAATAATCTCTGATAAAATAAATTTTGCAAGAGACCTATACAAAGAAAACTACAGAGCATTTCTGAAAGACACGATAAAAGACCTAAAGAAATAGAAAAAATGTGCCCTTTACATGGATAGGAAGACTCAGTACAGTGAAAATGACAATCCTATCAAAGGCAATTTACATGTTCAGTGCAATCCCAATCCAGATACCAAATTCATTTTTCAAGGAGATTGAAATTATCAAATTTATTTGGAGAGATAAGAGATCCCAAATAATCAAAACACTTCTAAGAAACAAAAATGAGGTTGGAGGCATAATACTCCCTGACCTCAAAACCTACTACACAGCAGTGGTAACCAAAACAGCATGGTACTGGTACAGTGACAGGCACACAGACCAATGGAACAGAATTGAGAGCCCAGAAATAGACCCAGCTTTCTGTGGTCAACTGATATTCAACAAGGAAATCAAAGCTATCAAATGGGGAAATGATAACTTCTTCAACAAATGGTGCTTGCAAAACTGGACTTCACAGAATCCGTGTAATGCTGTATCCCTCGAGGATTTAAACTTATTGAAAAGCAAATAAAGTTATGGATTTGTAAAAAAAAAAAAACAAACTGGACTTCCACCTGCAAAAAGCTGAAA